GATGACAGATTGGGGGGGAAGAAGCAAGACACGCGTCCTAGCGCTACCAGAGACTGACAGCTCTGCTGCTTCCTTTTGTCCAGGGAAGCCCCTTGTAAAAAAACCTCGCAAGTTGAACTCATGAGGTTTTTTTTACAAGGGGCTTCCCTGGACGAAAGGGCAAGGAATGCAGTAGAGCTGTCAGTCTCTGGTATCGCTAGGACATGCATCTCACTTCTCCCCCCTCTGCTACCGCTCACTAAAGGGATGTCGGGGAAGGGAACCAGGCAGATAGCCGTTACCATTGGGGTGGGTGGGAGGTGGCAGGCCAGCAATGCGCCTCGCACCCCATTCCCTTCCATGCAAAAAGAACACCTCCCACCCCCACCCCCCCCAATGGTAACGGCTGCCTGCCTGGTTCCCTTCCATGACATCCCTTTCGCGAGGGGTAGCAGAGAGGGGAGAAGCAAGACACGTGTCCTAGCGCTACCAAAGACTGACAGCTCCATCACATTCCTCGCTATTGTGTCCAGGGAAGCCCCTGGTAAAAAATACCTAATGAGTTCATCTTGCAAGGTTTTTTTTACAAGGCTGAAAGGGCAAGGAATGCAGCAGAGCTCCGGTAGCGTTAGGACATGCGTCTCACTTTCCCCCCCCCAACCTGCCACCCCTCGCTAAAGGGATGGCAGGGAAGGAAACCAGGCAGGCTGCCTTTACCATTGGGGCAGAATGGGAGGTGTTGGGCCGTGAGGCACGCAACTTACCTTTCCAGCTCTGTCACCTTCCTCACTGTTATGTCCAGGGAAGCTCCTGGTAAAAAAAAACCTTTCTCACAAGTTCAAGAAGTTTGAACTCACGAGAAGGGTTTTTTTTCACCAGCAGCTTCCCTGGACACAATGGCAAGGAACGCGACGGAGCTGGAAAGGTAAGAGGCGCGCCTTGCTTCTCACATGCCTCAGAAAATAATAACCCGCCCCGATAATGAGGCCAGGGTCATATTTCAAGGGTCAAAAGAAAATAAGACCCTGTCTTATTTTCGGGGAAACACAGTATTATTAAACAGGAGGATTTTTCTAAGAGACATTGCTCTTCTCTTCTATTCTCATTAAAATACTCTTTCTTTAACAATGAGCACTGCTCTAATATCAGCTTGAACTATTTTGCCTGGCCTTATGACCTTAACTCCTGTTCAGCAGTTGTCCAGGGCCACCTACAACCTATTTATTCTAACCACTATAGTTTCCATCCTATGCATTGAATACCATGCTTGAAATTTAACAACATGAACCCAGAGAAATACCTTCATTAGGAACCTTTGGACTTCATTAGATCTTGATCCAACAGATTACCTTAGATAATGTAATAATAATTTCTAATAACTTGTCAGAGATCATTACAATTTTTCTCATACAGCAGCTGGAAAGATTTCTGCATCACATGAAGTTGACATTTTGCAAATAATGTACCCATCATATCAGCCTGAAATGTTAAAGCTCTTAAAATGCTCTTTGACACCTGAGATCACTGATGAGAATCCATTTTGCACTTGGAGTGCTATATATTGTTATTGCAGTAAACATTGTTGGAAAATTACTATGGATAATTCTATTTTAATTTGTATCCAATATACTCCCAGTCATTTCCTACATCAAGATCAAAGCAAGCATAGACATAGGTTCAGATATCAAAAAATACATTTAAGAAACAATAAGTTAAATTTTTAAACATTATGAAATACTAAAAACGGTTAACTGGCAAAATGGGGCAAACGCAGGTATGAACAAGAGGCAACAATTTATACACTCTGTTTCATTAGTTATATGTCCAAAGAGACAGAATTTCCTGAGTCACTGGAAACAATACTATGAATAATTAGCATAGCCAGCCTGAAGAGAAGTGGACTTTGGCTGTTTCAGTTTTAACCCTCTTATTTACATAATAGGGTAAAATAGAAAATAGGGTACCAGGCAATCCTTCCTCTATTCTGTACCCTTAAAGAAACAATTTGGTTGAAAAGGATACTGTATATAACATATATTGTGACACTCAACCTAGCTATTCAGACTAAAAACCAAATAATTGCTCCTTAACTTAGTATGATAGTTGAAAAACTCTGCTACCCTATTAGAGTTACTGATTGCTAAACATCTGAGGAATAAGAAGAAACATATTTGGTTTTCTTTCAAATATATTAAAAGAACTGTGCTAATGGTATATTGATGGGCTGAGACTAATTTTAATACACTAGTCCTTGCAGGAAAGATCTACCCAGCGGGAACGTTCAAATACGGTACTGCCTCTCCATAGCAGTGCCAAAAATAGTATAAATATAGTATAATACCTTAATTTATTTTAATGGGACATTAATAGTGTTTCAAATTTTACAAACAGAAAGTCAGCATTGAAAATATTTGGAAATAATTGCTATACTGTCTTTAAAGTATTTTAGTGACAAATTTTACAGATCAGATCCCTGAATTAATATCTGCAAAGTTATTTGAAAAAGAAAAATGATTGCTGGATAGTGTGTTATAAATTCACTATTTATTTTTAAACGGGTGATTACTGAGAAAGGTATCTCTGGAAGGAGACTGAACATCATAAGTGACAAGGACCACTTATAAAACCTGTTTTATTATATAAGTAGTGTATCTACCAGTATATGTCTGTGGGGGTGGTGAGGCTGATAGTTTACATTCTGTTCCATGATTATATTTATAGTAACCATAAAGTGTTTGAGATATGAGATAGGGACTGAAATTAATTTTCAGGAAAGTGTTTATGATAACCTTTTGCTGTTAGCCAGATTTAGTTGGTTAATTTTAACAAGGCAAATTACAATGAGTTTACTTGAAAACTCAAAAAGAAGTACTCCATTGAAGAAATTGCTTGCCATTAATATTTTCTTGAACAACTACTATTATCCTATCTCCCATGTGAAATAAAAACAACTAAAATTTATAAACAAAGTAGATATGAGAAATGTCTCTTCAAAAATGTATTTTAATTATAATGATATCTCCTGAGATAATGACATAGAAATGACTTCAGTAGCTTATAAAACTGGCAAGGCAATGAAGGAGTGGCAATCCTGTGCCTTTTGAAGACACAAGAAGATAAATTTGTTTAACTGAGGTCTAGAATTGTCCACCCAGTGTTAGGATTCAGTGCCTGGAATTTTCACTGTTCTGAAACAACTGATCTTTTCCTTAATGAACCCTATCTGCTTAATCTTAGACAAGATTAACTCCTAATAGGTAACATGAGGAACGGGGGTTAAAAGTAAGTATGGGTGCATGCATGCATAAAATCTTCTTGGAGTTAAGCTTGACTCCATGTGATTTCATGGAATGAAAACATCTGTGTATTTTTCTGAACGGCAAAAAAGTTGTATGTCATAATCTCCTTCTGCTATGTTGTTTGTACTTCCCAGATTAACCTACAGCCCTAATGTTTCCTGTTAGTTCCTCATCCTAATAGTAATCAGGTTATGCACTCCTTAGGTTTTGTGATTAGCTAAAATCAACTAGATGCTTCCATGTAGCTTGGCTAACTTATGTATACTCTCTGCTAAAGTTTTTTTTGTGATTTGTGAACAGCAGCATTATAAGGTGATCCTGCAAGGAATAACTCCCTAATGCAGCTGGTAGCACTACAGTCTCAGCCAGCTAGGCAGTAGGAAAGGAGTCAAGCAAAAGATAGAACTTTTCTATCTCTGCTGAGAAGAAAAATTATCCTAAATCTGATAATGCTCTTAATACCTATAGTGCTTTTCACACATACAAATTCCAGTCTCAGAACATTCCAGCCACCATGGCCATTGTCAAGAAATTTTAGAATTGACCTCCATTGATTTGGCAGATTCCCAGGTTGGTTAAGGTTGTGTTACTAGTCAGAAAGAAGTGCAGGTAGTCCTCAATTTATAACATTTCATTTAGTGACCACTGACAGTTACAACGGAACTGATAAAAATGACATGACCATTTTCACACTTACAACCATTGCAGCATCCCCATGATCATGTGATCAAAATTCAGCTACTTAGCAACTTCTTCATATTTATGACGGTTGCTGTGTCCGAGGGTCACATGAATAGCTTTTGCAGCCTTCTGACAAGCAAAGTCAATGGGAAAGTCAGTTTCACTTAACAACTGTGCTACTATCTTAACAAGTGCAATGATTCACTTAATAACTGTGTCTAGAAAGGTTGTAAAAGGGGACAAAACTCACTTAACAACATAAATTTTAGGCTCAATTGTGGTCATAAGTCAAGGACTATCTATACCAGTAAATTATCATTTCACATTATAGTACCACAGTTAGTTAAGCTTTGAATATATGTTCACATCCTTGAATATGTATAATTCATTCTTCTTTAAAATACATAAAATGATCATTTACTACAGAATGCCTAATTTAGAAATCCTGCTTTTCTCGTCTGACTGTTCTCAGTTGCTCCAAAATTGTTGTAAACCAGTCAGCACTCATCAGAAATGTGATTTTTGAACTTTGACTTGGATAATTATGGAACTATTCACTGATACCTCACTTTTTTTCTTCATTTTCTAATTTTATTTTATTCAAAAGGTTAAAAAACAAACTCCAAAAGAAAGAAAAAGAAAAAAAGAAAAAGTAATACAAAAGTAGAACAGAACTAGACAAGACACAAAAATATGTATAAAAGGGAAAAAACAAAACAAACATATACATAAATTATGTATTATCACTTTTTTTCTATAGCCATTACATTTGATGTCTTTCCTTTTCCTCTTTCTTTCTCTGCATTCTGCATTGCATTCCTATTCTATTGTCGATCACCATGAAATCTTAACTTCATATTCTGGTACGTAATTCACTTTAGCACTGTGTTGGAATAGAGCTTTAGACTGGTTCCTCAAAATATTATCTCTAGATGTAGTAGTCTCACCACATTTCCCACTTGGGATCTGTTCACAGATTGGCACTTAAGAAAACAAAATCTTAATTGTTTGTGTTTTGCTTCATTCCCCTTTCCTCCACAGAATATTCCTACTCTGGGAAGTGTAGCAATTACCATGGTGCTCCATAATTGTGATGAAGTAGCTGTGGCTGGATTTGGTTATGACATGAACTCTCCCAATGCACCACTACATTACTATGAGAACATCAAGATGTCTGCCATCAAAGAGGTAAGGAATTTGAGGTTTAGAATATATTGCCTTCATAATCACATTAAGCTTCATAGTTTAATCTATATTCAGAAGTTTAAAAAATCCTTTGAATTCTAGGAAACAAAAGGATATCTTATCTTCCTATTCTTCATTTGGGCCTACCAGGCATCAACTGTTTATTTTTGGAAATAGGTTGGTGGATTGTCCTTGGCTTGATCCTGCAGGCTTCTTATAGTGAAACAAAATATATTATAAAATTATTGTTTTCTTTACAAAGTACACAAGCAGGTTCAGCAGTTCCTGATTCATTGTACTTCATTGTACTTCTAAGGATTCATGCAAATAACATAGTTTATTTCACATAACTACCTGCAGGTTACATTTCCTGAATAGCTGTGACAAAAAAAGTAAGAAAAGCAGCTTAAAGAATTAAATAAGACATTTAATGAAGTTGGCTATGTTGCTTGACTATTACTAATTCAGTTATACAGTATGTTGAATAGACTCAAATTGCTTTTAAATAATTTTTAACAGACTTTCCAAGAACAAAACTGAAGACTGTAGTTTTGCAGGGATGTGAATATTTTTTATTGGAGATCCTAAACAAAGCTACATTTTTTCAAGTCCTTTGGGAAAAAGATATGACTACACAGATGTATTCATCAATATGCATATACGTACATGCTTTAACAATCTGAAAATCAATGTTTTGCATAAAATAATAACCATACAAAGTCTTGCATCTGATTAAAAAAAAACTTACAACAGCTCTCCTTCTGTGCCAATGTTGGGGCCTCCTTGTTATTTAAGGAGCTGTCCAAGAGGAGTTGCCTAGACCAATACTGGCAAAAGATGAGAAGAAAATCCATCTAGACATGGGGGCCACCTCAAGCTTGGATCAACACTTTCATGATAATAGCAGCAAAATAGAATTACGTTTTTAGCCTTAGTGCAGCTGAAAAGAAATACAATACAATAGCAAAGTTGGAAGGACTTTGGAAATCTTCTAGTCCAACCCCCTGCCTAGGCAGGAAACCCTATACCATTTCAGACAAATAGCTATCCAACATCTTCTTAAAGACTTCCAGTGTTGGGGCATTCACAACTCCTGGAGGCAAGTGTCTTCCAGCTATCCTTTTTACAATGACTTTTATTCTTTTAGGGAAAGAGGAGTCAGAAGAATTGTGTGAGCTATTAGCAGGGCACTTTATAGATAACATTAGTGAGAGATGCTGAGGGTAAAATCATGAGGTGATATCTGGGAATAGTTTAACTAGGATTCTGAGGAAGTGGACAGAGTTCTTGGAGAAATAAAACCCTTAAGGATAAAGACATCAAGAGGCTTCAATTCTAAAACTTACTGAACCTGCAGTGTCTAATGGAGGAGCTGTTCACCATAGTATGAAAAGCATTATGAAAAGAAATTAAGGTCAGTCTTTTCCATGTATCTTTTATCTTTTTCCCCTAAGGTTATTTTTTATTAAGCTAGCATTTTAGCATGAAGCATGAATTCCTTACTACCCATTCCACATAGATTGCCTTTACACGTTAGCTGTTCTTTGCGTGGCACGACAAAACCGCGCTACGCAAAATAGCGGAGATTA